GAATCTTATTTTCCCATTGATTCCCATGTTATAAGTGTAGATGCGTTCTTACGGAAAATTTTTTGATCCCCAAAAGTAATAAAAACGCACATAATTGAATGTAACAAAACATTTTAAAACACATATTAAATGTAAATGACATAGTTTAATAGTTTTACTCACCAAAAATAATAGTAGGTACACAAAAATAATTAAATTTTACAGAGGGAGGGAGAGGGAGACTCAGTAATGGTACTGACGTCTGCCTCACCCTGTAAACAATGCCCATGCTCATCATCTTGATGTGGTGTAGGCTCAGCTTTTTTGACGAATAATGAATGCGTGGAGAGTTGTTTGCTGTTTCTGTTGCATCTTCTTGTACATCTCATTGTAACAATGCATAACATCATGTAGTTCTCTTGTAATTTGTAGGCTGCGTTCACGGCTGGAATCATTAGCACTAAGGATTTGCACCACTTCTACGAGAGCAAAGGATTGGCATGAATAGTTGGTAGTCAACTGAAGTTGTGTGGGTGATGTTTCAATAACGTCCTCGCTCTTGTTCTAACATTATCAGATCCTCATTCGACATATCTTCTCTATGGGACTTTAATAATTCAACCACATCATCTTCGACGATAACTTCAAAAGCAGCCTGTCTTGCAAGTGCCATAGTGTCTTGGTGAACTTTCCCAGCACTTTCTGCTTGGGAGAACCATGTAAAGTCGTTGACACATTCTGGCCACAACCTGTCTTGCAAGTTCCACAATTTCTTGGTGAACTTTCCCAGCACTTTTTGCTTGGGAGAACCATGTAAAGTCGTTGGTACATTCTGGCCACAACCTGTCTTGCAAGTGCCACAATTTCTTGGTGAACTTTCCCAGCACTTTCTGCTTGGGAGAACCATGTAAAGTCGTTGGTACATTCTAGCCACAACCTGTCTCGCAAGTGTTATAATGTCTTGGTGAACTTTTCCAGCACTTTCTGCTTGGGAGAATCCTGTAAAGTCGTTGGTACGCTCTGGCCATATGTTTTTCCACACACCATTCATAGTTGACTCCTTGACTTCGTGCTACGACTTAGTGATGTTGTTTATTGCATCCATAATGTTATATTTCTTCCAGAAATCACAAACTGTAGGCTTATCCTCTCCATCGGTAGCTTTAATCAGTTGTTTCTCTGTAAGTAATATCTCTTGAAATTGGAGATAGCACCTTGATCTATTGGCTGGAGCAATGAAGTTGTGTTCTTGGGGATGTACTCAACTTTTACATTATCATTCAAATTAACTGGGTGTCTTGGTGCATTGTTTAATATGAGCAATGCTTTGTTGGCGATATTACGTTTGGCACAGAACTTTTCAACAACAGGACAGAAATTGATGAACCAGTCTTGAAAAACACTTATGGTCTTCCAAGTCTTCTTATTTGAGCGCCAAATCACTGGTAAATTAGGCTTGGCATGTCCCTTTAGAGCCCGTGGAGTTTCGAAACTGTAAGAGCTTTGATATAAAATCTCCAACAGCGTTTGCCATCTAAAAGTAGAGTCAGACGATATTTATAAGCCTTGAACCCTGATACAGACTTCTCTTCCCTAAAAATAAATGTTCTATCTGGTATGCGTTTCCAGAACAACCCCGTTTCATCCAGATTAAAGACTAGTTCTGGACTGTAACCCCTTCGTCAATAGTTTTTTGAGTTCGCTAGGATATCTTCAAACCACCCTTTACTTGCCAGGAAGGGTTTTTCCTTCAGAATTACCTCTACCACTTTGTTCAGTCATCAAATCATCATACAACCGTTTTGCCTTAGCTTGTATAACCATCTCGTTTAATGGCACATTACGTTGGATCTGGTCCTCAATTCACACTCAGGAGTCTTTCCATATTAAGCATCACTTCACTTTTGCGAAAATACAATGTACGAGTACTTAGAGGTGTAGCCACTTTAGCACTTGCCTTGATTTTTTCTTTATTACCACTTATTGTTCCCACTGTAGAGGTAGAAAGCCCCTAAAGTTTTAGCAATAGAGCTAAGTTTCTCACTGGCATCAAACCACATCAAAACATCAAGTTTCAGATTCAAAGTAATTCTTTTCCGTGCTCTCCTGGGTGTACTACTTGCACTTGGACTTGATGGCCTATTTCTAGACATCTTGAATAAAAGTGGTACACTGCAGAGTCTTGAAAAATAATGCAAAGAACAACTGCGTGACCGTATGACTATCGTAACATAAGCGTTTGCTGATATGAACAAAGCGCGCCACCTACGTCACTGACGCTTGGAAATGTGCTCTACATTTCTAAAAAAAAAAAAACGATTTTTGGCCAAGTTGATTGTTTTTTTTTTGTGTTTGATCATGTTTTATATTTACCCCAAAATTCCATAAGGGCGAATTTACGATCCGTATCCCCAATTTATTGTTCGCGCTTTATAATTTCCGTATGGGTGAAATTCCATAACCCGAGCGCCCGTAATGCGAGGACGGACTGTCTATATATATACTGATGTGACCAACTGTCACGTGTAGTGTTTCATTTTGCGTCCACAAAATACCGTTGGTAGGATTGTTGCTGACGTCAACAGCTTACGTCAGCAAAATATCGTGGAAATTATAGTTAAGTACAACGATAGTGAATATAAACAAATATTTTTGTCAGTATGTTTTTTTTTAACTTCAGTTAGATAGTTTCCATCAATAATGCCCCCCCCCCCCAGTGGCACAGCGGTATCTCTGCAGACTTGCAACGCTAGAATCCGGGTTTCGATACCCGTGGTGGGCAGAGCACAGATAGCCCATTGTGTAGCTTTGTGCTTAATTACAAACAAGCAAATGAACCTTCAATAATATATTTCCAGTGTGACAGTTTCCCTTCTTCAGGGAATGTAAACAAAAATTTTGTGAACTAAATGTTTTGCCCCCCAGTGGCACAGCGGCATGTCTGCGGACTTTTAACGCTAGAATCCGGGTTTCGATACCCGTGGTGGGCAC